ACGTTTCCCCCCCCCCCCCCCCGTTGCATCGCTTTGGCTGCCGACGTTTCTATTTAAGAGCGCGGCAGAGCGAAACTGCGCGTACGAAAGTCTGCACGCGATCGTCGATTTATTTATTTGAATTTTCAAGGCGAATAAAATACGGTGTCCGGATATATTGGGTTGTCCGGAAAGTTCGTGCCGATTTTTTCGGTAGGTAGCGTGAGAGACCTGACCGAATATATCACAATTATTGAAAACAAATGACATGTGTACATAGTCTAAAAGAGATAACTTCAGCGATATTTGGAAAAAAGTTTGGTTACGATTCGTTAATTTTTATCAGTTCTGTACGCCTTAGAATATGGTGGCGAATAAAGTGCATTATAGGCATTTAATGCTTTTCTTTCTCCGAAAGGGCAAAAATGCCACACAAGCGGCAAATAAGATATGCTCTGTTTATGGCGAGGACGATGTAGCCGAAAGAACTGTGCGGAAGTGGTTGGCTCGGTCTAAAGCTGGAAATTTCGATCTTGAAGATCAAGAACGCCCAGGTAGGCAACATTACGTCAATTAGCAGGAATGCTAAATAAATCAAAATCAACCATCCACGATCATATTGTGAAGCTTGGCACCAATATTTAAATGAGCTGCGTTTTAATTTTCCTAACAAATCGGCACGAACTTACCGGACAACCCAATAAGATCTCTATAAATAATAAGCTTCGGAAGGATATAAAAGAACGCTCGATATCGTCTCGCCCGGTTAACAGGTTAAGTTACATAAATTATTTTGAAATAATTGTATAAACTAGAGGGTTGACAAACATGCAGTTTAAGTGTCCGTTCATTGGTCGGATCGCCTAGTGATCATTAAGTCGATCTTATTTCGAATGCAATCCGAATTTCCTTTTCCACTCGACCTTTGCACAATTCTCTGTTTGCGTATAATTATTCACATCTGTTAACGCTACAATATAAGTTCAAAAGTACTTTGCTCCCCGACACCTCTGCTTGAAACTTTTAAGCACTGGAGAAATGCATAGTAGAACTTCCCTAATCTCAATTTGTCCTGCGCAATTTAAACGGTTTGTTCTACTCTCCGCCCGACATTATGGACGCGAAATCTTTTATACCTATTTAACGGCTTACCAAATGTGAAGCAGGAGCTATAAGTGAAGTTACTTTAATTGATAATTTCTTGAAAACGTAAATCTGCTTTTCCAATTAAGAGATACGAGGACCATTTTAATGGTTCATCAAGGATCAGAAAGCCGGGCTCCCTCGGAAATTTAGTGGCTCGTTAGCCGAATCTTGTTAGCAGAAGCGATTTCGTTACACCAATCAATGCTTTCTGCATATTAACCTTCGATTTACGGTGCCAGGTCAGTTGGGACCCAAGCGTTCAAGCCATAGTTACTTTTTTTGTTACTGGTGTTTGACATTTTTGCTTAGTTCATCGTTTGCGGTCTAAATTAACAGATTAATCATCTTTATACTGAAAATTTTCTTTGGTATGATTTCGTGAGCAAACTTCGAGAATCCTCAATTCTAGTTCAAGCAACCAGATACAGTAATTTCTCCCGGAAATGTCAAATTTCAGGTTGCTGTGAATTTCTCCTGTGCTAGTTCTACGCCTATGTAAAATTTATTGGTACGTCGATGCTAAGTCAGGCAAGGATGCGAGTCAGGTAAGGAAAAGCGCGGAGCTACAAGGTATGCGGTAGGTACTGGGTACGTGACCGTCGAATCGTGGCTTGTAGCTTCTGAATTGCTTTCGAAACGTGTTCTGTGGCCTCCAAATTGCCTTGAAAACGTGTTATGTGGCCTTCGAATTGCCTTTGAATCGTGGCATGTGGCCTCCGAATTGCCTTCGAATCGAGGCATGTGGTTTCCGAATTTCCATCGAATCGTAGTATGTGTGCTCCGAATTGCCTTCGAATAGTGGCATGTGGCCTTCGAATTACCTTCGAATAATGGTATGTGGCCTTCGAATTGCCTTCGAATAATGGTATGTGGCCTTCGAATTGCCTTTGAATCGTGGCATGTGGCCTCCGAATTGCCTTCGAATCGAGGCATGTGGCTTCCGAATTTCCTTCGAATCGTAGTATCTGAGCTCCGAATTGCCTTCGAATAGTGGCATGTGGCCTTCGAATTACCTTCGAATAATGGTATGTGGCCTTCGAATTGCCTTCGAATAATGGTATGTGGCCTTCGAATTGCCTTTGAATCGTGGCATGTGGCCTCCGAATTGCCTTCGAATCGAGGCATGTGGCTTCCGAATTTCCTTCGAATCGTAGTATCTGAGCTCCGAATTGCCTTCGAATAGTGGCATGTGGCCTTCGAATTACCTTCGAATAATGGTATGTGGCCTTCGAATTGCCTTCGAATAATGGTATGTGGCCTTCGAATTGCCTTTGAATCGTGGCATGTGGCCTCCGAATTGCCTTCGAATCGAGGCATGTGGCTTCCGAATTTCCTTCGAATCGTAGTATCTGAGCTCCGAATTGCCTTCGAATAGTGGCATGTGGCCTTCGAATTACCTTCGAATAATGGTATGTGGCCTTCGAATTGCCTTCGAATAATGGTATGTGGCCTCCGAATTGCCTTTGAATCGTGGAATGTGGCCTCCGAATTGCCTTCGAATCGAGGCATGTGGCTTCCGAATTTCCATCGAATCGTAGTACGTGTGCTCCGAATTGCCTTCGAATAGTGGCATGTGGCCTTCGAATTACCTTCGAATAATGGTATGTGGCCTTCGAATTGCCTTTGAATCGTGGCATGTGGCCTCCGAATTGCCTTCGAATCGAGGCATGTGGCTTCCGAATTTCCATCGAATCGTAGTACGTGTGCTCCGAATTGCCTTCGAATAGTGGCATGTGGCCTTCGAATTACCTTCGAATAATGGTATGTGGCCTTCGAATTGCCTTCGAATCGTGACATGTGACCTCTGAATTGCCTTCGAATCGAGGCAAAAAATTGGAAATTAAAAAGTGATGGAATAATTTCAATTTCAAGGTGACCTGTGTACCTTATTCCTAAACAGATTCATTCAGATGTAATATGTTAGTCTTTCAAGGTCACTTAAAAAACCCTCTATAGTCCACTGTATTGTGTATCGATGATTTATAAATGTTTTTTTATTTTATTTAATTTTTTAAAGCTCGCTGTTAAATTATACCTCTGGTCGTGTCTCTATATTCAGTGGTTTCAAGTTATATCAATTATTTAGAAACCCACATGAAAATGTTGGTCAAAACTTGTCTTCGTTGAATGCGTAATCTTTTGGAGAGTGTGGAATTATCGTTTACAAATAAAATAAACTATCGTAATGATATTGAAGATCGTCGTTTTCATTATTGCAGGTAGAGAAGTCAAGAAACAACTAGAAATAGCTTCGGGAACTTTCAACGAAAGTAAGTTTTTTTTTTGTATTCTTATAATATAATAATATATTGATATATTAATATTAATAAATATATATAATATATATTAATAAATTAATATATAATATATTTTGTATTCAATATAAGTTTACAATAATTGCACGTATAAGTAACATACATTACTAAATGTACAATTTTTGAAAGACTGTTAATGTATCACCTTGTTATTAATCTTGACATTGTTGAATATAATTTTGTTGTTCTATCTAAAAAATTGTTTTATACAATTTTCACTGCCAATAACAAAATTATACTCAACATTTAATATATGCTTGTTCTTGAGTAACTGATTAAAAAACCTGTAACACACTTCGATCGTTAATTAGAGTAATTCTTCCATGGCAATGAATGGTCTTGAGTGATCTTCACAATAAGTGATCTTCAACATTAAGATGGTGACGAACATAGTAACGAGTGTACTGTATCAGTTTGTATTATCACTAGATTGCGAATCTTTGTGCAACAGAAAAATATAATTACAAAAATATAGTATAAATTGTGTAAGAAGTTGAAACCAAATAGAAAGTTATTCCTTCCTCCGAGCATTTTAATTGACCGAAACCAATATCTTGATATAATTCTAACTTTCAAATGAGCTCCATTTCGAATTGCACATGATGAATTTCGTCATAAATGCATAAACTCCGCCGCGTCTAGTTATCACGTTCTATTGTCTAAACAATAACATATCTTGACAGTGTGGTACGTTCGCTGCATACGGTAATTGTTATTGTTACGTGGATTACTGTCAACGATAGCTAGGTTTGGGAACAGATGTATCTAGATACACGTCTGCATCAATGAATTCGTCTCGAAATAGGCTACACACGTCCGACTAAACATGAATCTCTACAGTTTTATTTGAAAAAAAATGATGTTTAAGAAGCAGAACAGCTTACATTTGAAAAACGAAGTATTGTTGCTTGAGATACCGATTAGTTTGAGAGACAATTGTGTGAAAGAAAGGGAACAGATCGCATTGCATATTTAAAGGAAATGGCACAACCCAAAATGGATCTGTCTAAACTTTCCGAACATCCATAATCCTTTCTGGGATCCTATGTATTTTTATCCCTTCCGCAAAAATATCTGTTCCAGTTGCGGTGATTGATACTTCTTCGGCATTACGTCTTGCCGTTCCCTTATCTTTACAGTTTCAGGAATTAGAATTTATTTGGTTTCTCGTCAACGTCTACGATATTATATAAAAAGGGCCGAAAATTTTTGGTCGTCTAAAATAAAATTAAACCAAATTATAGTGTATATATATAATATATTATATTATTATTTACCACAATATATATATAAAAAGGGCCGAAAATTTTTGGTCGTCTAAAATAAAATTAAACCAAATTATAGTGTATATATATAATATATTATATTATTATTTACCACAATATATATATAAAAAGGGCCGAAAATTTTTGGTCGTCTAAAATAAAATTAAACCAAATTATAGTGTATATATATAATATATTATATTATTATTTACCACAATATATATATAAAAAGGGCCGAAAATTTTTGGTCGTCTAAAATAAAATTAAACCAAATTATAGTGTATATATATAATATATTATATTATTATTTACCACAATATATATATAAAAAGGGCCGAAAATTTTTGGTCGTCTAAAATAAAATTAAACCAAATTATAGTGTATATATATAATATATTATATTATTATTTACCACAATATATATATAAAAAGGGCCGAAAATTTTTGGTCGTCTAAAATAAAATTAAACCAAATTATAGTGTATATATATAATATATTATATTATTATTTACCACAATATATATATAAAAAGGGCCGAAAATTTTTGGTCGTCTAAAATAAAATTAAACCAAATTATAGTGTATATATATAATATATTATATTATTATTTACCACAATATATATATAAAAAGGGCCGAAAATTTTTGGTCGTCTAAAATAAAATTAAACCAAATTATAGTGTATATATATAATATATTATATTATTATTTACCACAATATATATATAAAAAGGGCCGAAAATTTTTGGTCGTCTAAAATAAAATTAAACCAAATTATAGTGTATATATATAATATATTATATTATTATTTACCACAATATATATATAAAAAGGGCCGAAAATTTTTGGTCGTCTAAAATAAAATTAAACCAAATTATAGTGTATATATATAATATATTATATTATTATTTACCACAATATATATATAAAAAGGGCCGAAAATTTTTGGTCGTCTAAAATAAAATTAAACCAAATTATAGTGTATATATATAATATATTATATTATTATTTACCACAATATATATATAAAAAGGGCCGAAAATTTTTGGTCGTCTAAAATAAAATTAAACCAAATTATAGTGTATATATATAATATATTATATTATTATTTACCACAATATATATATAAAAAGGGCCGAAAATTTTTGGTCGTCTAAAATAAAATTAAACCAAATTATAGTGTATATATATAATATATTATATTATTATTTACCACAATATATATATAAAAAGGGCCGAAAATTTTTGGTCGTCTAAAATAAAATTAAACCAAATTATAGTGTATATATATAATATATTATATTATTATTTACCACAATATATATATAAAAAGGGCCGAAANATATAATAATATAATATATATATTCTCTTTATCCAGTGTGCGTCGTCGAAAATTTATTGTCAGAGGTGACAGACGTTTCACTGATTTCCACGATACATTCGATGAACGTCGACAGTTTTCTCCGCCTAATCTACCGTTCCTTAACGCTATCGGTAGCGGCGACTGCGCCGAGGAAAAATGTAAAAATCACATTTTCTGCGAGAGTTGTTTCGACGGCTGAGCCGTGCAGCTTATTAAACCTGCCGTGCAATTGAAAGATTGCCTGAAACTTTTCAAGGACGACGGAACGCAAGTGTTTTCGTTCTCCCTGCAAATCGGTTCATTGGCTTTAATTTCAGCATTAGCTCCTTGGACTCTTTTCCCAGATCCTCTCTCGTCTTTTTCCAGCCGTTCCGCCTCCTTTCCTCCTCTCGCGGCCGTAGCTGTATCTCCGCTTTCTGATTTAGAAATCGACCACGCCGCCCCGACGACGCTACTACGGAGCACCGTCTGTAATTGGATGATTCTGCTTTATTGACACTGGAATTAACTCTTCCTCGAACGTGCCTTCCGCGCGGGATGCACGACGATTCTACTGTGGTCCCGATTTTCACTGAACCGCTTCATTACACACTTTCTCACGGGCCACCGGCGGGATCGTGACTAATTTTATTTTGTGACGGGGGAAAGAAAAAAGAAAGACGGGATTTCAGCGCGGCTACTGTCACGCGGCTGGAAACGAAAGATAATGAGGTGAACGATTGCTGAGGTGTTAGCGTTCTAAATAATAGACGGGAATTTTTGTCTATAATTAAATGCGATCGCGTCGGAATTTCAGTTGATGTTTACACTTCGCGAGAGATTTATGATATCAAATTTGTAATAAATGTAAATGCTATTTAAATTGGGAACAAAAATATTTATTTCATTGTCATAACGATGATAGATGCGATACATAATGTATAAACATAAACAACAAATAAAACGAAGTAAATAGTAATCAATTTTTGTACTTCATCGTGACGGAAATTAAGTTGACGATGAATATTTCTATGAGATATTACATATAAAAAATAGTAAAGTTTAAATTAATTAATAAGAGGTTTGATAACCATTGTTTGTTCGATCGACAAACACTTAAAGAAGTCGTGCGCGCGAGCTCAGTCTTTTAAATTGAAAAATCGAAATTTCTTATTTTATATTGCAATATTTTCTAATTTA